ATGGTAAAAATATACAAACAGTAGGAAGTGCATAAAATTAAATATATGCAATAGGAATTGTACAAAATCAGATACAGACAACAAGAAATATATAAAAAATTTAAATACAGATAGAAGAAAATGTAACAACAAAATTGATGATTAAATGAATAGGATGATTATAATGTGGAGGTAATGGAAGAGTCTGGACCGCGAGTCTTTCAGATGAGTCGGGACCGCGAGTCTTTCAGATGAGTCTGGACCGCGAGTCTTTCAGATGAGTCGGGACCGCGAGTCTTTCAGTTGAGTCTGGACCGCGAATGTATTTAATGCACCTGGACCGCGAGTCTTTCACTCGAGGAATTTTTTTTTTTTAATTAGCATGATCAATAAGTTAAAATAAAATCTAAATAATACATGAAAATAACAATGCATAATATACATAACAATTTTTTTTTTTTTTTTTTTATATATGCTGAAAATGTAGAAAAAAACTGGAAAATCAATTAAAATAAATTTCGTAACAATAAGAAAATCGCTGTGTGGCTATAACAGTTGCATGGCATAAGTAAACACGTCAGAGTTATACACCCGCATAGCACAATCGGTGCATTGCGTTAACAAAGTATGTATGGGGTGTTACCGAAAACACGTATTCACCTTATTTTGACAACTAGACTCTATAAAGTATCGTAATAATAGAGGTCCACAGACAATACGATATTCATTTGTCTCATATCTATTGTTGCTATTTCACGCCTCTATATGTTTTATGTGATAAGAGAAGTAAAAGATGCATTACAACAATTACGAAATGAGCATTATCACGTGATTCCTGGCAGAAGACGCAAAATATGCATATGGCCGGTGATTGGTCCTTTAGACAAATATGCTACGCCCTATTGGCTAAGCCAGCATTTCATCGACCAATGATCACTGTCCCGTTTATAGCTCTGTGCATATTTAACTGTGGTGAGTATTCCGAGTCAGTTAAACCCCGACATCGGTGCATTCAACTGCTCTCCTAGTATCTGACAAGATAATTGAGGTAAGGAATATAAAATGTTATTATATAAAAAAAAAAAAAAGGGTATATTAAGCAAGAACTTAGGCTTAATAAGTTTGACAAAAAAAAAATATATATACTACTATTTACTAACATTGTTGCAAATGAGTAATATTTTATGTTTTATTTTTGTGTTTTCCCCTTGTTGCAGATGCCGTACACAAGTCTAATTATAGTGGTGCTCCTGAATACAATATGGTGGGCGAAGTCTCTTCCACTCGTATCTAGACTCAACCACGGCGTAATTTTCTATCCCACCACAATAATTCACCAATCCGATTCAAATTGGCATGCTACATTTGTGGTGGAACGACCAGATATTTCGGTGTTTGACTCCCTATTTGACGAGTTATA